CAATAGTACACATTACTATGTGTAAAGACTTTTTCCATCAAGATGTCCACTATAAACTAGAAATGTACCTACCATTCCTAACTTCTCTTCCCTCACCCACATACATAACATTCACTCATGCTTTAAATTGTATGTTCCCATTTGGGTGAAACAAGTTCACAAAATCTAATTTATTAGGCCTGTTCGTATAATAGAATAGAACTGACTTCTAATACGGGGACACAAGCCAAGAATGGACACCAAGCCAAAGCAAGATACAGTAAGTTTACTTCCTTAGCCAGTTGGAGTTCAAAAGCCTTCCAACAGAATCTTTATTCTTTGTAAGTTAGCTAGCTGGCAAACATAACATTGCCTTTCATCCTGACATCATCCATAATAAATTCAGTAGTCCATATCTGCCTTTTCCTTTGTAGTAAACATGGAAGACAACTGCCCTACCAGCACCATCCTTAAGTACAGTGCAAGGAAAGGCAGTGATGAAGCATCAGAAGGACCTCCACAATCACTAAATCTGTTAGAAGTTAGTCCTCTTTCCTGTTTCCACTTCAAGTTACATTTCTGTCTCCATTTGTGTACATGCTTTAGAACAGGGGTCTCCAACCTGGGCAACCTTAAGCCTGACGGACTCCAACTCTCAGAATTCCCCAGCCATCAAAGCTGGGAGTTGAAGTCCGCCAGGCTTAAAGTTGGAGACCCCTGCTTTAGAAGATTTCTGAACCAAATCCAACACTAGACTATCTGCAAGTGAGGCATTTCTGAATTTGTAACAATCGAAAAGTAAGACTTATTTTTGCAAAGGTATGCAATCCGACCCCATGCAGTCCAGGTTAATCTCTATATTCAAGGCAGAAACAATGCATTAGCAAGATACAATCAGACAGCAAATTTGCACTGGCAAATATCAATATTCTTTGATCTTTTATCAGAAGATACCAAGAAGCAACAATTGGGATTATGCACAAATACACGTTGGCTGTGAGTTACTGTAGATCCCAGCAGCATTTCAAGACATTCAAGATCATCATGCAGAAAGTTCCTTAATAAGATAGGAAACCTAGGATTGGCCTGATTAAATATCAAATTACAGTTTTCCATTTCCTCTGAAAATGCTTAAGGATAAAATGCAGAACAACAAAACATAATATGATGGCAGAAATTGAAGGACTGAGGCAAACAGCTTTAATAATGACATAGAATGATGACATACAAACTTGATATTCTATTTTTTTTTTTCCGTTAAAGTACTAAGGGACAAATTCCAAAGAGTTTCTCCTTAAATATACACTAATAAAATGCTAAGTATCTATACCTTTTTCTCAAGATCCACATTTGACAGTCAAAATTAGAAAGAGACAAGCTGAACATTTCTATTATTATTTTGGTGCAAAGTGTGCCATTAGTTATTCTCTCCTCTTCTAAAATTAAACCAGTGCCTCGTGTCAACTATTTGAAGTATTACAAAGAGGGCTGAATAAGAAATTAAAGGAAACTCATGAAGTAAGGGGAAGGAAGCAAATATAAAAGAGAAAAGTTGGGCAAAAATCTACATATAAATCACATGCCATATCAGTATTAGAACAACTCCAAGCACAAATCGTTCAATATTCCTTTATGATACATTTTCATTCATATTTAAAATTTGACAATCATTCCACATATTAGCATAGATTCATTTTTCTAGATAGATAAGAATATTTTTTTTTTGTATGACGGACCAAAAATTTAGAAGCTATAAAATCATTTTGCCTTCATAAAATAAGGGCTTTTTGTAACAAAAAGTCTACTTGTGATGCACAAGTGAATTAAGTTGAGTACAAGATTTTAGCTGCATACAAAATGCAGCTAAAAAACCATTTTCTGGATCTCACAGCTACATGCAATAATATGTACTCCTCTGAAACAGAAGTGATGATCGGTCCATGGTACACTGCAAATTCAGTAAACGCACTACGTTCCTGTGGCTCTTACTGCTTCATAGAACTCCTTGGCATTTACCCAAAATTCTTTTTGAAAAAGCAAGAAACTGCTTCAGTCCTCAGTTTTATAGCCAATCGCAGCACAGCACAGCAAAAGAAAGTTGAGCAAAAAAGAAAATGTTGCTTTCAAAACACATTTTAGTCATCATTAACACTGATTGCATTCTGACTCTGGGAAACATCCCAGTGGGTTCCTAAAGATGGTATTTGTCCTATATGGTTTGATTTTTCTCAGGAGTTATAGCATCTCAAAACTTTACAACATGGGCAGTCTTTTGGCGTGCTACAAAACTGAAAGTATCAAAGTGCCCATCTCTGTAGCCATTCCATATACAATAATGCCAATTTAGACCCTTTGGAAACATAGTCAGCCAAATATGACAGATCACATTCAAACTACACCTTAAATCTCATTTGTATTTTAGGTCGGCTTCACTATCTATTTCGTGCTGGAGGGATCCATATCCCTCAGAAGTAGTGATTAATTGCACTGTATCTGAAAAGTTGTTCTTAAATCAGAAGGTGGGAGCCAGAAAGAAAACACATTATCAAAAGTGAGAGCTGGACAGGTGGATACGGGAGGGGGACAAAAGTTTTTCATAGGAGAAAGGGAGACAAGAGAAACTCAACAACTTTGGGAAAGCCAGTAGCCTGAAAATACCCATCCTCCATCATATTGCCTTGCAAACTCTGTAAGGCTTCGTCAGACTTAATTCAAAATAATCCAGATTTTCATCATCTCCTTTAGCAAAAAGCTTAACCAAAAATGTTTTGTAATGGCACCAGATAGGCATCAGTCAAACCAGATCTACATTTCCCTTAGGAAAGACACAGCAAACGATATATGCGGGGAAGCAAATAGAGAGGCCAGAGTTAGGAATCTTAAAGGCCTCTGACAAACAGTTCCATCTTACTTTTTCAGGCAGTCTGTCATGACAGCAAAGCTGCAACAGCAGCTCGTGATACCCACACGGGCAGCTCCAAAACCAGCCTCCAACCATCACTGAAGTATCAGAAACAAGCCAAGAACAAGGAGCATTGTTCTGGGAAGTAATCCAAACTATAGTCCTATGAAGGAGTGCCTGGAGGGGAAGTTTAAGGAGCAGGAAACAGTCATGAATTCACATTCTACACCCCCCACCCCCTCTGGACGATGCCTTCTCTCAGAAAAGGGAAAGGGGAAATCTTGGATGCTTTGCCTCTTTCCTGCCTCCCAAACCTGCAAGGTTTTTTGTTTCAGGCATAGCCAAAGAAGACCCCAGAAGAAGTTTATTTGGGACAAGCTGGCATCCTCATTCCAAAGATGAGCTGGTGTGGGCAGAAGCTTTTTTTTGGGTGGGGGCTTTGTTTTTCACTGGAAGATCTTCTCCACAAAGTAGCTCTGCGCCTTTGGCAAAGTTGTCTGCCACCAGCATGCGTTCCCTCAGACCGCAGTGCTTGGCACTGAGGGGGGGTGGGAGAAAGGGAGAGTGTCTTCCGGTCTCAAGAAGCACAGCCCACCAAACCCCGACTCCACCCCACCAGTATTGGTCCTGCAGGGAAGCTTTTCATGCATCAAGCTCCTGGGTTCCTCTTGTGGGGAATGGGGCATTCTGGCCTCCCCAATTTGCTGGGAAGAAGCTTCCTTGCTGCAGCAGTCATGAAACTACTGAATGAGGGGGAGGGAGGAGATAAAGGGAAGAAAAGCTTTCTCGGGAAGCAGAGTTTGTCCCTTTGGTATCACTCCAGTCCCAAGAAGGCAAGTAAGAAGGCTCTGGTGTGACTGTCCCAAACTCTGGTAGGCCCCAGCTTTTCCAGTCCTGCTGCAGCTTGTTGATGCTGGGTGACAATGCAATGCATGCTAGTGATGTACTACACTGCAGTACCAGCATCAGGAACCTCTTGCTTAAAAGCTTCCACTGCAGGACAGGCAATACGACAAACACACATACTGTGGACAGATGCACACACAAATGCATGCATGGCTTAAGCAGCCTTTCCACTTCTGCACCCCACTCCTCCCTGATTTTGCAGGCGTACCACACGCTTTGGAGATGCCTGTCTCCAAAGAATGGAAGTGACTGCAGATACCCCAACTGCAGACATCCCAGAGAGGCATCCCATCCCACAACTGAAAAGTCTGTGGGTGGGGAGGGGGCTTGCCTGTTTCCCTGCCAGCACAAGCCTTCGCCCCCCGTATGTCAATGCTGTTCCCTTCCTTTCCCTCTCTTCTGTTGACAGCAGAGAAAAAAAGGAAAAGGGAAGGTTGGAAGGAGAAAGTGAGCCGTAGGGCACCAGCATTTCCTCTTTTAATGTCCTGCAAGTTCCTTCTTGGAGTTGCCTTGGACTGAACGCATGATTGTTACGCAGAAAGCAAACAGACAGACTGGCATTCCAAAGGGCCCTTGTATCTGAGCGGCAAGGCAAAGAGGAAACCTCTCAAGGCACATTCACACATGCAGACACACACCCCCTCTGCTACACTCTTGTTGAGCGGGTGGACTTTTCTTTAGTTCCTTCCACAGGCACAAGTTCCCTGAAAGTACCCTCCTTTGACCCTGCCACCAGCTAGGGATGGAGAAGGGCTGTTGAAGAACGTACAGCTGGAATTGCAAGCCATCAGTTCACCTACTTTTGAAGCACAAACCTTGTTTGAAAGTTGTACCAAAAGTCTCATAAAGCCCTTGGATGCACCTACAAGCCACAGGCGTGTAAGAGTGCCGAAGCAAGGCCTTGAGATCTCTTCTGAAAACTAACTGCACCCGTGGGTTATGGGGGAGTTTTGATTCAGCAGGGTGCTACGATTTCATCTTCTAGTGATTAAAATTTCTCTGTTTCTGGCTTCAACACAGTCCAAACGGCTCTGTCTAATCTTGTCCAGCCTGACCCTTGCTTGCTTCCATACAGTGGTACCACACATGCAAGTCGACACTGGCCTAACTCCATTTCCCCCAGTTTCCCCTCAATAGGACTGCAGATCTGCCTTCGGCGAGCAACAGACAGTAATACAAAGGAAAAAACAACGTGATGTAATGTATTGCTTACCAGTTGGGTTCTTGTTTTTCTTAAGACTCTTGCCACAAAGACACTGCAGCATATGCGATCCTTTGCTGAAAATGTTCCAAAGAAACCACATTGATTTGGGCGAAAAGCAATCCAGCGCTTATACACCCTGAGATAGATGAGACCCTTGTGGTTGTTGCATAATAATAAATTGAGATCAGTTCTCCTCAAAAGGTGCACCAGTTTTATCATAGACAACAACAAAGGGAAAAAAAATAATAATAATAAATTTGATCTCCCAGGGTTTTTTCCCCCCTTTCCCCTCACGTGGTTTCTTTCTTTCAGACTTCTCTCAACGGATGCGTTTTTCAGCCAGAGTGAACGGTTATTTCCCCTCCAGAATGACGGTGGATTATCACCCAAAACTGTGGAAGGAAAAAAAAAGACATAGATCCTCTCCTTCTTTCTGTCTGTTTCTTCCCTTTCAGATCCAAGCCAACCAAGACATGAGGCGATGAGATTCCAGCCAAGGCCAAAAACTAACCCGAGACAACAGTAAAGAAGAGAAGATCCCCAAAGAAGACACCATTGCCTGTTACTTGATGGTTAGGAGGATGGGTGGATCTGCAGAACAAAGCCAAAACAGGATGCATCCTACTAAAAGATAGCCATGGTGCAGCCCCTGGAAGAGAGATCACGCAGCCAGTACCACCACTACCATCTATCTCAAGTCTGATGGATGAAAGCAGACGCTCCACTCGGAAAGTGCTGATTTTACCATCAAATCATCTCAGTGACATATGCAATTGTGTGGCACCTGCAGTTCCCAGTCAGGCTGCACAACAGATGCAAAGCTTAGCCCTTAGCACGCAGGCAAACATACACACCACGGAGGCAGCTCTCTTCCCTTTCCTTCTCTCTCTCTCTCTCTGCTTTGCCCAAGACCCGGCTTGCATTAGGAATTTCTCTATCTTCCCTGCACATGCAGAGAGAGAGAGAGGGAGAGAAAGATACATGCACACACACTCTCTCTCACACACACACACACGCGCACACCCGCACACACACCCGCACTCACACAAACTGGATTTTGCTCCTGAGCCTTGGATATGAGTTACAGGCATTCAACCGGGAGTAGGAGGAGTTGAAATTTGCATTGAGAGACTGGCTTTCATGACGTAGCCACGTGCTTCCAGGCCTGTCACCAGTGAGATGCTTCAGCCAGCCCAGGGAAAGCAGTGTCACTGCAGTCTCTCCCTCCCCTCCCTTCTTCTCCCCCTCCATTCCTTTCACCAAGCATGCTGCAGCTTAAAATACTGGACAGAGTCTGCCACTTGTAACCTCCGGGGAACTACATCCCTGCATGCTAACTAGACCCCAGATCCACTACTCAACACATAGACTTGCCTGAGACATTCCTTTCAAAGCTCTTATTATTAATGGGAAGAGGAAATTTAATTACAGACTGAACCATAGGGTCACAAAGAAGAAATAAACTTTCCCTTTTCCCTGAAGAGCCAGGAGTCCACACAACGTACACGCTTTCCATCTACACACTCCCCTCCTCAAAAGAATTATGTCAACAACATGAAGGAACTAACAGGAACATGTTGCCCCTTCTTCTCTGCACACCTCCTGAGAAACAAATAGATTTTCTTGCAAATCCTGAACTGAAAAACTGACATCTATCCATCTTGTGTTATCCAGGAGAAAAAAAAGTGCTGATTTTGGAACTGAGAAGAATCTCAGCTGTCACCCCGGTTTTAATGATTGACAAATTTTGCTCAGGACTCTATGTAAAATGAGAATAAAAATAGTCTATGCTGCTTTATTCTTATGGCAAAAAGCAAGGTTAATACAGAAAAATATCTGATATATTTTTATTAAAAAATGAGTTTGTTATTTAAAATGCCAAGAAACCCGTTTCCTTATTGATATAGGCCTAAACATCTTTTTGCAATCACATATTATCTCCATCTATCCCATTCCTTCATTCAGGCGAGTATGTCCCAAAACTGTTCCAGTATCAATGAATGTAATCTCTGGTATGTTCTCAGATCTTTAGTATTATCACTTTAGCACCTCCATTTTACTAAAAGGAGACCTACCCATAAAACTAATTTAAAAATGGGAAGATTTTTTTTCTTTAGAAGGAAGATATTACTTGTTGCTCAAGTAACATTTAAAAAACTCTTTAGCTGACATGTAAAAATATTAGTTTGGAGACAGTACACTGTCTCCAAACTGAAAAAAGATAGTGATTTAAAATATCTTTGGTAAACCCTTTCTTACAAGTGTTCCCCAATAAATGGTAAATATGATGGATTGCAACTAGTAGGGCTGAACTAGTTGGCCATGTCATGTGGGGGAATTCGCCAAAGAAAGCAATTATGTCAGGAAGAGTTAGCAGTAAAAGCAAAGCAGGTCTCCACAGAACAAAATGGCTGGACACCATAAAAGCTGACACCAGCCAGAGAACACAAAAAAACCTCAAAGAACCAGTGCAAGATTGGAAGATGTGGACAGACCTGGCCCTAGAATCATCAAGAGTCAGTCATGGCTGAATGGATAACATCATCATCAGAACCCAATTCTGGGAGTTGAAGTCCTCCAGGCTTAAAGTTGCCAAGGTTGGAGACCCCTGATGTAGAGGATAGGAGAAAACCATATTCTTTTGAGTGACTGGCTGGTGCTTTGTTCAGTTATGCAAAATGTTCCCTATCTGAAACTTTTTTTCCACCTAGCAAAAGAGAAATTATCCAGTAGTTGGATCCACTTGTCTAACAACCCTTGTTGGTAAAATAATAAAGGCGCAATCTAGTTTTCACTAGTTGTACCACTGTATTGCATACATGATAAGCGTGACTTTTTATTTTACTGCTCTTACTAAACTTTGTACTGCTATTTAAAAGAGGACATTTTCATAATCTGTACACTTCATAAAGAAAGCCCAGCACCTAATGTTAAAAGTTATAAGAAACCCAGTGTCAGTAAAAATGGTTTTCTTTTCCAATTTTCTATTGCTTTTCATTTTTTTAATTGCTTGTAAATTTACAAATATCCATTCAGGTTACTTGTGAGGCTGCCTCTCCCTAAAGTTATGTATCTGTTCTCCTAGGTTAGGAGAATGAGTGAATGAGCTTCGGGTTCCCTGCCTTAAATGGTGTCATTTGATGGGCCTTTGGAGGTGTGCCTTTTTGGTGGCTGCCCCAGTTCTCTGGAACAGCATCCCACTTGAGATTAAAGAGATCTCTACCCCAGTGATGGCTAACCTTTTTGCCATCACGTGCCAGGAAGGGGGGGCGGCAGGGGGGTCATGCGCATGCATGCTCATACCCATAATTCTATGCGACCCACCCATCCCCTGCTCACCCCACTCCTGGGGCACAATGGCCCGTTTTTCTTTCTCACCTGGCTCCAGGACCTCTCTAGGCGTCTGGAGAGGGCAAAAACAGCCTTCCCCACCCCTTCAGAGACCCTTCGGAGGCCAAAAATGGCCCGTTTGACAACTTCCAGTCTCACCGGAAGCTGAGCTTGTGTGCCCACTGATATGGTTACGCGTGCCAGCTGTGGCACGCGTGCCATAGGTTCGCCATCATGGCTCTACCCTTTTCAGCCTTCCAGAGGGCTGGGGAAAAGGGTACTTATGTTTTTATCTTTATTTTGTGCATTGTGAGCTGCCTACAGTCATTATAGGAGATAGACAGTCATATAAATCCTGTAAATAAATACATTCAGGCCATTCTGAATTTCTGTTAAGCATTTTATTGGGACTACGTAATACTCTTGGGGACATAATTCAGGTGTTCAGAGAAAGGAAAAAAGAGAGCAAAGAAGAGGATGTCTTGTTCTAAAGCAGGAGTCCCAACCTCCAGGCCGCAGCCTACTATCAGGCCATGGCCAATTCAAAACAGGGCCGCATGAGAGGAGGGCCAGTGCACATGTGCAGCTCCACTCAACATGAGTGGCAGACCAGAGCACACACTCATGTACGCACAGGGTCACTCATGTGAACAGTGTCACTCGTGTGAGCCCCCAGTTCCCCTCTCCTCCGTTCAAGCCAGGCCACCAAGTCGCAAAGATTGGGAATCACTGTTCAAAAGAACCCTGAATTCACAAATTCAGAAGTGCATAATTCTGTTGCAGGTCTTTCTGACTAAGCAAATTATTTATCTCCATTAGGTGGGGGCAAAAATAAATAAGATGAAGATAAAAAGAAAGCTGATGACTAAGTGATGGGAATGTCATCTGGATTCTTCATAAAATTATCCCAATTAACTACGCAGATTGTTCATTGAAAAGATCTGGAAGCAAACTTGGCATGAGGCAGCATCATATGTCTATGACTTGAAACTCGTTCACCTCTTCGCAGATGATACTGCATTCAAAGAGTCCACATCAGTAGTTTCCTGTTGAAAGTATCAAGTATCAGGAAGCTCAAACTGCCCAAGGAGCTGCTGATACAGTTCTACAGAGGAAATATTGACTCTGTCATCTGCACCTCTATAACAGTCTGGTTTGGTTCTGCAACCCAACAAGTCAGACACAGACGTCAGAGGATAATTAGAACTGCAGAAAAAACAATTGCTACCAACTTGCCTTCCATTGAGGACCTGTATGCTGCACGAGTCAAAAAGAGGGCTGTGAAAATATTTACAGACCCCTCGCATCCTGGACATAAACTGTTTCAACTCCTACCCTCAAAATGATGCTATGCACACCAGAACAACTAGATACAAGAACAGTTTTTTTTTCCAAACACCATCATTCTGCTAAACAAATAATTCCCTCAACACTGTCAAACTATTTACTAAGTCTGCACTACTATTAATCTTCTCATCATTCCTATCACCCATCTCCTCCCACTTATGACTATATGATTGTAACTTTGTTGCTTGTATCCTTACAATTTATATTGATTGTTTCCTAGTATGATTTGATTGCTTATTTGAACCCTATGACTATCATTAAGTGTTGTACCTTATGATTCTTGATGAGTGTATCTTGTCTTTTTATATACACTGAGAGCATATGCACCAAAGACAAATTCCTTGTGTGCCAATCACACTTGGCCAATAAAGAATTCTATTCTATTCTATTCTATTCTATTCTATTCTATTCTATTCTATTCTATTCTATTCTATTCTATTCTATTCTATTCTAAGTGGGGTACTATAAGATTCAATCCTGGATCCTGTATTCTTCAACATTTTAATTAATATATTATATTATAATATATAAGATATATTACCTCCCGGTTGGACTACTGTAATGCTCTCTACATGGGGCTTCCCTTGAAGAGCACTCGGAGGCTCCAACTGGTCCAGAATGCGGCCGTGCGGGTGGTTATGGGTGCAACCCGTTGCGCCCACGTGACACCCCTCCTGCGCAAGCTGCACTGGCTCCCAATGGTCTTCCGGGTGCGATTCAAGGTGTTGGTCACCACCTTTAAAGCGCTCCATGGCATAGGACCCGGGTACCTTTGAGACCATCTTCTGCCACCAATAGCCTCCCACCGACCAGTCTGCTCCCACAGAGAGGGTCTCCTCAGGGTGCCATCAGCCAAGTCATGTCGGCTGGCGACACCCAGGGGGAGGGCCTTCTCTGTGGGAGCCCCAGTCCTGTGGAATGAACTGCCCCCGGAAATTCGTAAGATTTCTGATCTCCGGGTATTTCGCTGCGCACTCAAGACCCTATTGTTCCGCCAGGCTGGGTTAGCAACATAATTTTATATTGGATGTTTTAAACTTTTGGGGTTATAAATTAAGCCAAATTTTTTATTGTTGTTGTTGTTGTTGTTGTTATTATTATTATTATTATTATTATTATTATTATTATTATTATTATTATTAATGTCATGGACAAAGAAGTTACATTTGTGAATGATGCAAATTTGGATGGCCAATCTAATATAACAATTTTCCTACTTTGGACATATTATGCAAAGCCTTAGCTCTCTGGAGAAGGCTCTAATGCTGAGAGAGGTGGAAGGAAAAAGAAGTAGAAGATGACCATCAGCAGGGTGGATGGACTCAGTTACAATGGCAATGTACGCACAGTTAGAATATGATCAAGTTAGGGACAGACTGTCACAGAGAAAAATCTGTCTATGTGCTCACTAAGAGTTGACAGCAATTTGATGGCACAAA